CTGGGTGAGCTGACGAGCTATCTTGGCTTGCGGATCACCCGGGACAGAGCACGGCGCACCATCACCTTGACTCAGTCACACATGGTGCAGCAGGTTCTCCAGCGCTTCCGCTTCACGTACTCCTCGCCTCAGTCCACTCCTCTGCCTACCGGTCACTCGCTCTCAGCTCTGCCTTCGGATGAGTCCGTAGAGCCGAGTGGCCCGTATCCAGAGCTTGTGGGCTGCCTCATGTACCTGATGACCTGCACTCGACCTGACCTTGCATACCCTCTTAGCATCCTAGCACGCTATGTCGCTCCTGGCCGTCACCGGAAGGAGCACATGGATGCTGCTAAGAGGGTGTTGCGCTACTTGTGCAGTACGTCGGGCATGGGGCTTGTGCTTGGAGGGCGAGACCGGGTTGTTCTCACAGGGCACTCAGACGCTTCTTGGGCAGATGACCAGGCTACTCAGCGGTCGTCCCAGGGTTACACCTTCAGCCTTGGCTCTGGCTCAGTTTCTTGGCGTTCTACTCGCTCTTCTTCTGTTCTCAGCTCCAGTTGTGAGGCTGAGATCTACGCCACAGCCATGGCTGCTCAGGAGCTACGCTGGCTGACCTACCTGCTGACCGACCTCGGAGAGCGGCCTCGTTCTCCTCCAGTGCTGTACGTCGACAACAAGGCTGCCATTGCCTTGTGTGAGGAGCACAGACTGGAGCACAGAACGAAGCACATCGCTCTGCGGTACTTCCTTGCTCGAGAGCTGCAGCAGCGTGGTCAGCTTTGTCTGCGTTACGTGGCCACGGAGGCCAACACTGCTGATGTGTTCACCAAGGCGCTTCAGCCTTGTGACCATCAGCGCTTTTGCACTCTGTTAGGCCTTGTACCTACTGGGCCTCACTTGCTTACCTCTTGACCTTACTTGTACTGTGATCACTGTATATATATCCCTACTTGTTTACTTTTGCTAGGTTGTGATCACTGTATCTCTTGCTTTGTTATAAACCTGCATGTGAACTGGTCTTGTGACCGCTTGCTTGTGCTCGGAATTTGTGTGGAATCCTTGAGATCCACCCTGAGCTTGCTTTGCTTTGCTTTGACTGGTCTTGTGACCCTGTGGTTGTCTCCCACTGCGCCTATGGGGGTGTGTCAAACATTGCATGTTTATATTGTCTAGGCTGTAGTGGGTTACACCTTAGGGGGTACACAAAGTTAGGGTTTCCTACTTGTACCAAACTCTGTGCTAGTTCATTTCATTCCTGCTCAGTTATTCTGACAGCGACCTCCTCCTGGTCGACCATGGCGGTTTAGACTGCCGGCCTACAACAACTTAGGTATTGAGCACTAAAGTCGGCTACTCTGAAGGTTCTAACGCGGGGCCGTTCCACGCTCACCGCACCATGCGGAGAGTCACCCTACAACGGGTGTGAACTACGAAGGAGGGCACGGAGTTGTGTGGGTGATCGTAGCGCTCTAGTAGCGTTCTAACAGAGTTCTCACTACTTGCTCTGTTCACAGAGAGATTTGGCAAGAGTTTCCACTAAGGAAATTGAAAGTACATTGAAAATTGAGAATTAGAGTACAAGAATGAGCATGCAAAGTGATATCTCTGGAATGGCATTGCAACCCCTAGCAAGCATTCTGCAAGGCGAATTGTTAGCACTACATCAGAGTGGTTCGCCAACGCTGAAACAGAGCGGTCTGCCAGCGTAGCAGAAGGGCGACATGCCAGCGCTGCAGCAGGGCGGCCTGCCAGCGCTGCATTCGCAGGTGAATATCTGCGCAGGTGTGCACCTGCCGAGTAGGTGCAGGTAGACGGTTACACCGTCAGAGACATTGCGCAGGTGCCAGGTAGAAAACGCTCCGACGGTTTCGTCAGATGTCCGCCGTCGAGCACGTGATGCCATTTCGGAGGTCGAATTTCGCTAAGAGCCACCTGAGCGAATTTCGCATGCCCTCGCAGAGTTTCGCAGTCGCGCGAATTCGGCCGACCAGTTCGCCGAGCTGACGCTCGCCGAACAGCGCCCTTCGATCAGAGAACGCGGCTCCTCGGACAGCACCCCGTCCGTCAGAGATCGCGCGACCCAGAAGCAGATCAGAAGACGAGCTCGTCGAACAGCACCCCGTCGACCAGAGCTCGTTGACGGGCTGGTGAATCAGAGGACAACCTTCCTCGAAAACCACCCGCGGTTTCAGAGGACGGGCTGATCCAATGCGACGATCACTTCGTCGAATTCACCACGTCGTCGCAGAGAATGCCTACGCCCAAGCGAGGGCGGGGCCTTTCACTCCGACAACGGTAATGTGTGGAAATTGGGGTGCGCGACGGGCCTAGCGCCGAGGGTGGGAAATGCCGAGGCGGAGGTCCGGAGCGCGGGTTACCAACCGAGCCGTGAGGTTGGGTCGCGGCGTGAACAGTGGCGGGAACAGTGTCGAGGCGAGTGTCGCGAGTGGTAACGGTTTACTGTTTGAGTGCTGGTGGCGGAAACAGTGGTGTACGCGCTGAGAAGGGACGCGGAGTAAGGAAAAGGATTCTCATTACACCCACTCAGAGCGGGCCTGCCTGAGTGGAACTGGAAAGTTGAAGGCCCTGTTCGGTAGACGCCCCACTCATACTGCGGATGGTGGAAGGCAGGTTCCGATGACATTATTAAAGCCCACTAACCCGATATTGGAACACCGAACATGCCCAGTGTGACTTGGCTACCGAACGCTTCAAAAGCCAACTCTGACTGCGGGCGCCGAAACTGCACGGAACTTTCATTCCCGGGCAAACTGGACTCGCAGTGGAAGTGGCTCGCAGTTTAGGGTTTCAGTTACACTCCGCGAGGGCCATTCCAAGTGGCACAGTTTTGGGTTAACTTTAAATTAGACAATTTCGGACCGGAAAATATGCTCTTACCTTTTTGAACCAAAAAGAGTTGGCGCAGAGCACGTGATGTTTTTTTTTTTCCTCTTGGCCTTGTTCGGTAGGCTGCCTAGTCAGACTGCGGATGGGTCATGGCAGGTTCCCGATTTCGATTGTATTTATGCTTAAAGCCCATGAACTCGTTAGTAGAACACCGAACCTAGCCGTACCGATCGCTTCTATTTGCTAGTCTGACTGAGATCAGACTGGCCGCGACGAAGCTGCGGGAGAAATTTCTTCTCCTGGCAAAAACCAGTTGCAGTGGAGCTGCGGCCCACTACAAGGCCCCCCCTGTAATGCGGTAAGAGTGACGGGGGAAAACGTCCAAGGTTGAAGCTACGTCGTTGTTGTCGCGCAAGCTCCCGAAATCATATGCGAAAGTGCGTTCAGTGCGAGTTGAGGCCCGAGGCTAGGAAGCCCCACGAAGGGTTCGCTAGTGCGAGTGGGCCCACTCACACTGGGCGCCTACCGAACAAGGCCCTTGTTTAACAGGGTAACCGTGCGACGGGCAAGTACGTTATCAAGAAGTTTATAACATATTTCAAGGAAACTGTCGCAAACTGAAAACAACTTTCCAGTCTGAGTGGAAGCCCGAGGCTAAGCAACACTCGGACGCTTCTCCAGTTCGATTGGGCCTAGTGCGACTGGGAGGCTACCGAACAGGGCCGAAATGGAATGGACTTGCACGCGAATTTCGTGGTAGTGTCTTCAACTGCAGTCGGTGCGGGTTTATGACGTGTTTGGTAGCCAAGTCGCACTGGGCAGGTCTGGTGTTCTAATAACGATATAGTAGGCTTTAAGGTAGATCGAAACTGGGCCGCGGAAGATCAGCTGCACCAACCGCAGTGTGACTGGGTGGGCTACCGAACAGGGCTTTGGTACAGTACCAACCCCTTCCATTCCAGCCAGACTCTCCCATCCATACCTCCGCCATCCTTGTAGAGTGGCGCTCCGCCATTGTTAGGTGGGGCCTTCTGATATTCTCCGAAGATATCGGGCAATCTACGCTACTCCTCTCAGCACGCCGCTCTTACGAAGTACTAGCTTTTTCAACGCGATATGGCGTGAAGAGGGACCATCGATCAGGTGACGATGTCAGGGTAATAGTACAGTACCACCACTACTACTAGTCTCTGCTGCCTCGTTCGTCGCTGAGCGATGTTAACGACGCTCGCCGCTGCCTCGCGCGACTCCGGGAGCAGGGAGAGAATGCCAGAAGTAGTCTTTCTAGACATGCGGGTTCTATATCAGAGTCTTTAGGCCACAAAGTTGCGTTTTCTCGCTTGCTCTCCTCGCGCCCTTCCGGATCATCCCCGCGCCGAGCCGCTGGCGATAGAGGTCACGGTGGCATGGCCATTACCGGCTCGTGCGCGCCCCTCGCGGCGCTGATGCCGGCTTTCGTCTTTCTTCTACTACTAGTGCCGGAATCGGCGCGGATTGGCGGAGTCGTCCGCGTCGGACACGCGCTCGACGCGTCGTCGACTGTGATGGGCGACATGGGAATGGAACGCGGCATGTCGCTGTTCCGGGTGCGTGCCGCGCCGTGCCTAGTGCCACTACCGCTACGATCAACACTCGTAGAACTGCTAGTTGCAATACTCCCCGAGTCTACTAGATTCGACAAGGAAAACCTGCGCTTGTTTCTTGTACGCCCAGAAGGAATTGATGGCGACGCGAATGCGACGAACAGCGCCATAAGAAATCGTCTAGAATGATTTAAATCTGATTATCCAGAGGAATCAAATCTTTGATCCTCGAATTGAGTGCTGAAACGCCTTCTTCTTTATCCAAATCGAAATCGGACCTTCATAATTCAGAATGATTGTCTAGTAGGAGCCGCGAGCCTTTCATTCCACGCGTTGCCGCATGTCAAGCTGGTGACAGTGCTGTCGAGACAATGTAACTGCACGCATGCATGGTGTACCCCATTTTTTTAGAGTCCAGACCCCCACCGACGTGTCTTACCCAAGTTACCAGATCCCCCACTCCCCCAGTTGCTCCGCGTATCCAAACTGACTCTCCGCCTCCTCCGCCTTCCCTTCCCTGCTTCCGCCGCACCCGCTATCTTCCCCCGCGCCGTCCCCTTCCCCCTCCCTCCCGTTTCGCGCGCGCAGCAATGGGAGAGCGCGTACGGCCTTAAGGCGGAGCAGCGCCTCCCCCCCGACGTGGTCTCGCTTCCGCCCAACGTCCCGCGCGCGCCCCACCTGGAGGAATGCGTTGCGCGCACGGCGCGGCGGCGGGAGGCGGAGCAGCGCGGGGCGAACGGGGAGTCGCCGGGGTGGGCGCGCCCGGCGGACTGCTGCAAGTGCGACCCGCAACCCCCATGGGTATGACGTCAGCATGGGTGGGTGGGTGTGGCGGCAACATCGCCGTATGTGTGTGTGTGCATAAGACCGTGGGAATGACGTCTGCATGTGACCGTAGAACTCTGTAAGAACTCTGTGACTTAAAGCCAGGATCTCAAGTAGTTTGACTGTTTTGCAGTTGGTGAATTGAGATATGCTATGATTGGTTAGCGAGGTAGAGAAGTTGACGAGGAGCATCTTCTGTTTTGCAATTGATGCCAATTCTTCTTACTTGAGATCCTGGCTTTAACTGCGTCATTGTGGCGTAGAGAGCTGTAGCCTGTAATTGAGGCGGAAGGGCCTTTCAGCGTACGCGAGCGAATGCAAGCAGCCGCACGCAACCATGATAGACGCACGCACCACTGCGCCGCAAAACCCCATCCGCCGAATTCACCTTCTCCTGTCACAGCCTCTCCTGGGGGTTTGTGATGCAACCCTCAACCATAAACTATCACTCAACCACATCCCCGCCCTGACCCACCCCGCCCCTTCCCCCATCCCTTCCTTCCCCACCCCCCCTCCCCCCACCCCCCACTTGTCTCTCTCTGGTGATGAGACGATTTTTTGGGTGCCTGTCAATGTGCCCCTTCTCTGTCCCAATCCTCCTTTCCCCTGTTTAACGTGCCTTCTTATCTTCCACGTCCCAGAAATCGTCCCCCCACCCAACACTCCCCTCTCCCCTAAACCCTCAACCCTTAACCCTCACCACCGCACCCTCTTCCCCCTAACCCCGGAGCAGAGGCGGACAGCTTAGCTTCGACGCAAAAGGCCACCCATCGCGTCTTTTGTTTCTTCTCATCCCCCCTTCCCATTCCCCTCACTTTCCCTCTCCATCCCAACTCCCGCCGCCTCCCCCTCCCCTCGCCACTGCTCTGCCCCCCAACTCTCGCCCCCCTATCCCCCTTCCCCCCCTTCCCCCGCGCGCGCAGGTGAGGGGGGCGGAGGCGGAGAATCTAGCCAAGACGCGTGTGGCGCAGAGGGACATCTGGGAGCGGCAGTTCCCCCCAGGGGACTGCCAGGGGCAGCGCCTGCTCGTGCTGCCCTGGTCCACGCAGGAGATGCGCGGCGTGGGGTCGGGGGTGAGTGGGGGACTGGGGTGAGTGTGGGGCTGGGGTGAGTGTGGGTTGGGGGTGAGTGTGGGTTGGGGGTGAGTGTGGGTTGGGGGTGAGTGTGGGACTGGGGTGAGTGTGGGACTGGGGTGAGTGTGGGACTGGGGTGAGTGTGGGACTGGGGTGAGTGTGGGTTTGGGGTGAGTGGAGGACTGGGGTGTGTGGAGGAGGGTGAGTGGGTCTGGGGGTGCAGGGCAGTGGAGAGCGGTTGAAGCCGTAGTGGTATGAACCAGCATACGACTCCCTTAAACCCAGAACCCTGAACCTCAGATCGAGAGCTTACATACAGAAGCTCTTGAAAATTCTCCAAAAATGTCATAGAGAGGTATCCAGGTGGCAAACCAGGATTGGTGGAATCCACCTCAGCCCACCATTTTCTTTGCCTCATCCCAACACTCCCTTCCCTTAACCCACCCCACTTTCTTCCCCTCCCACCCCATTCCCCCCCCTCTCTTCCGCCCGCCGCCACACCCCCACGGCGCACTACCCTGGTCAAATCCACGTGACAGGGTTGTTCCTGAGCCTATCTATGGCGCTCAACCACACACTCGTGTTCCCCCCACCCCACCATGTGTGTTCCCCCCACCCCACCATGTGTGCGCCCCCCACCCCACCATGTGTGCGCCCCCCACCCCACCATGTGTGCGCCCCCCACCCCACCATGTGTGCGCCCCCCACCCCACCATGTGTGCGCCCCCCACCCCACCATGTGTGCGCCCCCCACCCCACCATGTGTGCGCCCCCCACCCCACCATGTGTGCGCCCCCCACCCCACCATGTGTGCGCCCCCCACCCCACCATGTGTGCGCCCCCCACCCCACCATGTGTGCGCCCCCCACCCCACCATGTGTGCGCCCCCCACCCCACCATGTGTGCGCCCCCCACCCCACCATGTGTGCGCCCCCCACCCCACCATGTGTGCGCCCCCCACCCCACCATGTGTGCGCCCCCCACCCCACCATGTGTGCGCCCCCCACCCCACCATGTGTGCGCCCCCCACCCCACCATGTGTGCGCCCCCCACCCCACCATGTGTGCGCCCCCCACCCCACCATGTGTGCGCCCCCCACCCCACCATGTGTGCGCCCCCCACCCCACCATGTGTGCGCCCCCCACCCCACCATGTGTGCGCCCCCCACCCCACCATGTGTGCGCCCCCCACCCCACCATGTGTGCGCCCCCCACCCCACCATGTGTGCGCCCCCCACCCCACCATGTGTGCGCCCCCCACCCCACCATGTGTGCGCCCCCCACCCCACCATGTGTGCGCCCCCCACCCCACCATGTGTGCGCCCCCCACCCCACCATGTGTGCGCCCCCCACCCCACCATGTGTGCGCCCCCCACCCCACCATGTGTGCGCCCCCCACCCCACCATGTGTGCGCCCCCCACCCCACCATGTGTGCGCCCCCCACCCCACCATGTGTGCGCCCCCCACCCCACCATGTGTGCGCCCCCCACCCCACCATGTGTGCGCCCCCCACCCCACCATGTGTGCGCCCCCCACCCCACCATGTGTGCGCCCCCCACCCCACCATGTGTGCGCCCCCCACCCCACCATGTGTGCGCCCCCCACCCCACCATGTGTGCGCCCCCCACCCCACCATGTGTGCGCCCCCCACCCCACCATGTGTGCGCCCCCCACCCCACCATGTGTGCGCCCCCCACCCCACCATGTGTGCGCCCCCCACCCCACCATGTGTGCGCCCCCCACCCCACCATGTGTGCGCCCCCCACCCCACCATGTGTGCGCCCCCCACCCCACCATGTGTGCGCCCCCCACCCCACCATGTGTGCGCCCCCCACCCCACCATGTGTGCGCCCCCCACCCCACCATGTGTGCGCCCCCCACCCCACCATGTGTGCGCCCCCCACCCCACCATGTGTGCGCCCCCCACCCCACCATGTGTGCGCCCCCCACCCCACCATGTGTGCGCCCCCCACCCCACCATGTGTGCGCCCCCCACCCCACCATGTGTGCGCCCCCCACCCCACCATGTGTGCGCCCCCCACCCCACCATGTGTGCGCCCCCCACCCCACCATGTGTGCGCCCCCCACCCCACCATGTGTGCGCCCCCCACCCCACCATGTGTGCGCCCCCCACCCCACCATGTGTGCGCCCCCCACCCCACCATGTGTGCGCCCCCCACCCCACCATGTGTGCGCCCCCCACCCCACCATGTGTGCGCCCCCCACCCCACCATGTGTGCGCCCCCCACCCCACCATGTGTGCGCCCCCCACCCCACCATGTGTGCGCCCCCCACCCCACCATGTGTGCGCCCCCCACCCCACCATGTGTGCGCCCCCCACCCCACCATGTGTGCGCCCCCCACCCCACCATGTGTGCGCCCCCCACCCCACCATGTGTGCGCCCCCCACCCCACCATGTGTGCGCCCCCCACCCCACCATGTGTGCGCCCCCCACCCCACCATGTGTGCGCCCCCCACCCCACCATGTGTGCGCCCCCCACCCCACCATGTGTGCGCCCCCCACCCCACCATGTGTGCGCCCCCCACCCCACCATGTGTGCGCCCCCCACCCCACCATGTGTGCGCCCCCCACCCCACCATGTGTGCGCCCCCCACCCCACCATGTGTGCGCCCCCCACCCCACCATGTGTGCGCCCCCCACCCCACCATGTGTGCGCCCCCCACCCCACCATGTGTGCGCCCCCCACCCCACCATGTGTGCGCCCCCCACCCCACCATGTGTGCGCCCCCCACCCCACCATGTGTGCGCCCCCCACCCCACCATGTGTGCGCCCCCCACCCCACCATGTGTGCGCCCCCCACCCCACCATGTGTGCGCCCCCCACCCCACCATGTGTGCGCCCCCCACCCCACCATGTGTGCGCCCCCCACCCCACCATGTGTGCGCCCCCCACCCCACCATGTGTGCGCCCCCCACCCCACCATGTGTGCGCCCCCCACCCCACCATGTGTGCGCCCCCCACCCCACCATGTGTGCGCCCCCCACCCCACCATGTGTGCGCCCCCCACCCCACCATGTGTGCGCCCCCCACCCCACCATGTGTGCGCCCCCCACCCCACCATGTGTGCGCCCCCCACCCCACCATGTGTGCGCCCCCCACCCCACCATGTGTGCGCCCCCCACCCCACCATGTGTGCGCCCCCCACCCCACCATGTGTGCGCCCCCCACCCCACCATGTGTGCGCCCCCCACCCCACCATGTGTGCGCCCCCCACCCCACCATGTGTGCGCCCCCCACCCCACCATGTGTGCGCCCCCCACCCCACCATGTGTGCGCCCCCCACCCCACCATGTGTGCGCCCCCCACCCCACCATGTGTGCGCCCCCCACCCCACCATGTGTGCGCCCCCCACCCCACCATGTGTGCGCCCCCCACCCCACCATGTGTGCGCCCCCCACCCCACCATGTGTGCGCCCCCCACCCCACCATGTGTGCGCCCCCCACCCCACCATGTGTGCGCCCCCCACCCCACCATGTGTGCGCCCCCCACCCCACCATGTGTGCGCCCCCCACCCCACCATGTGTGCGCCCCCCACCCCACCATGTGTGCGCCCCCCACCCCACCATGTGTGCGCCCCCCACCCCACCATGTGTGCGCCCCCCACCCCACCCACACTCCTCTCCCCAGATCCACGTGACGGGGTTGTTCCTAAGCCTGTCCATGGCGCTCAATCGCACGCTCGTGCCCTACCCCGACTCCTACCACCACGCCAACACCTCCGACTGCATCGGTGCGCCTGCCTGCTTGCTTGCTTGCTGGGAGCACCGTGCCTTCCCACTGCTGCACACTGTTGTTCCGCTGCAGCACGTGCATGCACGCATGGGTGGGGGCACTGTGACGCATGGGTGGGGGCATTGTGACGCATGGGTGGGGGCACTGTGACGCATGGGTGGGGGCACTGTGACGCATGGGTGGGGGCACTGTGACGCATGGCTCACGTAGGCACATTCAATCCAACCTCCTTGTCAACCTTTGCTGTCAAACATTGCATGTTTATATTGTCTAGGCTGTAGTGGGTTACACCTTAGGGGGTACACAAAGTTAGGGTTTCCTACTTGTACCAAACTCTGTTCTAGTTCATTCATTCCTGCTCAGTTATTTCTGACATGGTTTCAGAGCAGGTCCTTCGCTAGGACTGTTCTTAGGGCCCACCGACTTACCTACCTGCTTACCTTCGCTTGTTTCCGGCCCCGCTGGCCCCGTCGATCTAGCACGATCTAGCGGCCCTGCGGCCCCGTCGAAAATTTTTTCTTTTCCTAGCGGCCTCTCACGGCCCCCGTCGCGTCGCCCCTTAGCGCCCCGATCGGCCCCGTCACGCCGCCCGCGAACCGCACAGCGCGCCGCGCTCACAGCCCGCGAACCGCCCGCGCACAGCCCGCGACCAGCCCGCGCAGCCCGCGCACAGCCCGCGAACTGCCCGCGAGCAGCCCGCGACCTGCCCGCGAACCCCCGCGAGCCGCCCGCGACCCGCTTACGCAGCCCGCGAGCAGCCCGCACAGCCCGCGCTGAGCCTGCGCGGCTCGTGCGCTGACCGCCGCCGGCCCGCACGCTGCCCGCACTGCTCCCGGCCCGCCGCTGCTGAGCCCGCAGCCGCCCGCGCACCGCCGCTGCTGAACCCGCCGCCGCCCGCGCACCGCCGCTGCTGAGCCCGCCGCCGCCCGCGCACCGCCGCTGCTGCGCCCGCTGCCGCCTGCGTATCACCGCTGCTGAGCCCGCCCCTGCTGCGCCGGCTCTCGCTGCCGCCTGCTGCGCCTGTGCACCACTACACTTCCTACTACTGCTGCTTGTGCGCCACTACAGTCCGTAGGCCCCACCGGCCCTGCTGACCCTGCGCACGCCTGTTCAGTGACTTTACTGCTTCTACTACTGCCGCTGTCGCTATGGCTAGTCCTCCTGTTCTAGCTTTCGACGCCGAGGGCCGTCCGGTCAAATTCGAAACCTGGCTAGATGACCTGCACCTTTTCCTACAGCTCACTGCCAAGGAAGATATTACACTGTACGACCACGCTCTCGGCCATGCGACCGCCCCACTCGCTACTGCCCCCCCAGCTGAGCGCTCACAGTGGCAGACCCGTGACGCGCACGCTCGCTTTGCTATTCGCAACTCCCTGCCGCTAGATGAGCGCGAGCACTTCGGCCAGTGCAAAACTGCTAAGGACCTCTACACAGCTGTAGTGGCCCGCTACTCCTCACCCGCTTCTGCCACACTAGGCCGCCTCACTCTCCCCTACCTGTTCCCCGACCTAGCCTCTTTTCACACTGTCGCAGACCTCATCACCCACCTTAAGACTAGTGAGGCTCGCTTTCGCGCTGCCATGCCTGATGAGTTCCTCGCTAGCAACCCCCCCCCGCTCTGGATCACTCTCTACCACGTTGTCACCCGCCTCCCTGACTCTCTGCGCCCTGTCAGGGACCAGTTCCTCTCTCGCTCCCCCACTGAGCTCACCATAGCCCTCCTCGAGAAGGAACTGCTTGCAGCCGAGGCTAGTATCGTCGCTGTAGGCACCTCTCGTGGCGACCCCCGCGGCCCCTTCTTCGAGGGGTGCTCCCCTTCCCCCCTCCTCCCCTCTGTCGCCTCTGCTGCTGCTGTCGACCTCCTTGGTGCTGAGAAGGTCGGGGCTGCGTCTGCTTCAGGCGGACGACGCAGGGGCAGGAGTGGCAGGAGTGGGGGTGGTGGCGGAGGAGGCGGGGGTGGAGGTGGTGGCGGTGGAGGTGCGACTGGAGAGGCTAGTGGCGGCGGTGGTGGAGGTGACAGCGGTGTTGGGAGTGGTGACAGGGGCGGAGGTGGCAGCGGAGGCGGAGGTGGTCGTGGCAGCGGCAGGGGTGGAGGTGGCCGGGGCGGAGGCGGAGGGGGTGGTGGTCGTGGAGGCCCGGGGGGCGGTCAGAGTCAGCAGCCTGCCCCGACCCTTCAGGCCGCCCGTGAGTGGTATGCGCGGCGCAGCGTCACCTGTCAGTACGTTATTCGTACAGGTGACCGCACTGGCCAGACGTGTGGGGGGCCGCACCAGACGGAGCGCTGCTTCGCCCGCCTCAACGATGCGTGGCGCACTCAGTTTCCTGGTGGGGGTGAGCTGCCGCGCTGGGCTGATCTGCTCAGGAAGGGTGTTGATATTTGGGCACTTGACTTTGATGCTATTCTCACTGCCATGTATGCGATGTCTATTAGTGGAGAGGGTGCTCAGTACTTGCGTGTTCCGCCCGACCCGGGCATTCAGGCCAGCCCTGCTGCTGCACTAGGTGCTAGTGTGTCTGCTTCCACAGGTACTACTGCAGCTGCTGCTCTAGGTGCTTCTGCGTCTGTGCCCCCTGGTACTGAGTCGACTGCAGCACTGCACACCTTCACACTGGACTCAGGTGCTTCTCGCTCTTTCTTTCGTGACCGCACTGTCCTTGAGCCTCTAGCTCGGCCGGTTGCTGTCTCTCTTGCTGACCCCTCTGGGGGTCCGGTCCTTGCGACCTCCTCCACCACCCTTCCGTGTCCAGCGGTTCCGTCCGGCACGCTCTCAGGTCTCTACCTCCCCTCGTTCTCCACGAACTTGGTGGCAGGTAGTGCGCTCCAGGACTCGGGTGTTCACCAGTTCACCCCTGCCTACGAGCGTGTGACTCACTGCACGTGTGCTCGGACGGGCCGCCACCTAGCTACTTTCACTCGAGAGCCGGGGTCTGACCTGTACACACTGACCACTGAGTCCCCTCAGGTAGCTGCGTCTGCGTCAGCGTCAGGTCAGCTGTCCGCCCCCTGCTCGTGTCGCTCTCTGGCGAACGACACCGTCCTCTGGCACCACCGCCTTGGTCACCCGTCTGTGCAGCGCCTGCGGGCCATGCACAAACGGGACCTTGTTGCTGGTCTTCCCAGGGTGCTCCCTCCCCTTCCTGACTCCCCTGCTCCTGACTGCATTCCCTGTGTCGAGGGGCGGCAGCGCGCCGCTCCTCACTCCTCCTCCTTTCCCCCGACGACCGCTCCCCTGCAGACGCTCCACATGGACGTGTGGGGCCCGGCCCGCGTCCGTGGTCAGGGTCAGGAGAGGTACTTCCTGATAGTTGTTGACGACTACTCGCGCTACACCACGGTCTTCCCCTTGCGCGCCAAGGGTGACGTCCCTGGTGTTTTGATCCCCTGGATCAGCCGAGCCCGTCTCCAGCTAGGCGAGCGCTTTCACTCGGACTTTCCTGTCCTGCGCTTGCACTCTGACAGGGGTGGTGAGTTCGCCTCCGACCTCTTGGCAGCCTACTGTGCTGAGCACGGCATTGAGCAGTCGTACACGCTTCCGGCCTCTCCACAGCAGAATGGGGTTGCTGAGCGCCGCATTGGCTTAGTCATGGAGGTCGCTCGTACCTCCCTGACCCATGCGGCTGCTCCCCACTTTCTGTGGCCGTTTGCGGTCCGGTACGCAGCGCATCAGCTCAACCTCTGGCCCCGTGTCTCCTTGCCGGAGACTTCCCCGACTCTACGGTGGACGGGAGAGGTTGGCGATGCGTCGCGTTTCCGGGTCTGGGGATCTCGAGCTTTTGTCCGCGACACGTCCGCGGACAAGCTCTCGCGTCGCGCTGTTCCCTGTGTCTTTCTTGGCTTTGTTCCCGACGCGCCTGGATGGCAGTTTTACCACGTCACCTCGCGCCGGGTTCTGGCCTCTCAGGACGTCACTTTTGACGAGTCCGTCCCCTTCTACCGCCTCTTCCCCTACCGCACTGCCCCGCTCCCCCCCCCACCTCTCTTCCTCGCTCCAGGTGCTGAGGTACCAGACCCCCTCCCCCCTCAGGGTGCCGCTCCCTCAGGTGTGTCCCAGGTAGACCCGGGTGAGCCTGTCGAGGTAGCTGTTGACTCGCGTCCTGCGTCTGGGGGTGCTGAGCCTGGGAGTGCTGCGTTTGAGGGTGCGGAGCCTGGGGGTGCTGAGCCTGGAGGTGCGGAGCCTGAGGGTGCTGAGCCTGGAGGTGCGGAGCCTGGAGGTGCGGAGCCTGGAGGTACTGAGCCTGGAGGTGTGGAGCCTGGGGGTGCTGAGCCTGGAGGTGCGGAGCCTGGAGGTGCGGAGCCTGGAGGTGCTGAGTCTGGAGGTGCTGAGTCTGGGGGTGCTGAGTCTGGGGGTGCTGAGCCTGAGCGTGCTCCACCTGGAGGAGACCCCTCCTCCCAGCAGCTGCAGGAGAGGTACCTCGAGTACTGCCGCCTCCGGAGAGGTGCTTCTGGAGCTCGTCCCGGTACTTCCCCTCCTACCCAGGAGCTCCCCCCCATTCAGGTGATCCGCGAGTGGTACACGCGGCGCTGCAGTCTTCGTAGTGGTGCTCCTGGTACTGCGGACCCGAGCGGTGGAGCTGCTGCTGGTGCTGAGGACCCGGGGGCTGGAGCTGCTGCTGGTGCTGAGGACCCGGGCGTTGGAGCTGCTGCTGGTGCTGAGGACCCGACCGGTGGCGCTGCTGCTGGTGCTGAGGACCTGACCAGTGGCCCTGCTGCTGGTGTTGAGGACCCGGGCGTTGGAGCTGCTGCTGGTGCTGAGGACCCGACCGGTGGTGCTGCTGCTGGTGCTGAGGACTCGGGCGTTGGAGCTGCTGCTGGTGCTGAGGACTCGGGCGTTGGGGCTGCCACTGGTGTCCCTGCTGCTTCTGGAGACGCTGCGCGGCCGCGACCGTACTTCGTACCGCTCCTTCAGCAGGTTCTTGGTCAGGCTCCTCCTCCTTGTCCTCCTCCCTCCGTCGAGTGTCCTCTGCCTGTCCAGCCGCAGTCACAGTTACCGCCTGTCTCGCCTCTCCCTGCTCCCTCCCCTTACGCTGGTCCCACAGGAGGTCTTACAGAGCGTCGTGAGCCTGAGTCTCGTCCTGCGTCGCCTGTTCGTACTGCTCGCACTGGTCGTCGTGTCCCATGTGAGCGTCCTCCTCCTGTCCCTGGCACTCACTACATGACTCTGCGTCCCTCCACTGCTCCGCAGCGTGTCCCGCTGCCGTCTCCTCCTGCGTCCTCTCTTCCTACTCTTCCTGACCCGGAGTCTGACTCCCGTCGTGCTGCCAGTCCCACTGTTACGCGTCTCCTCGCTACAGTTGTCACTGACCCGACCTTTGAGTCCTCTGCTGCGTCTGCCCTGGTCGCTGAGTTGGTTGACTTTGCTGCTCGCTGTCGCCTAGACTACGCTGCCAGCCTTGTCGCTAGGTCTGAGTCTGCGTCTGCCTGTCCTCCGTCCGTCGGGGGTGAGTGTGCCCTCGGCACGGACGTCCTTGAGGACAGACAGGAGGAGTTCCACTGCCTTGCTGCTGCTTTGCCCCGTCTCGTGTCCTTGCTAGTTGCCCCTGAGGGAGACCCGGATGCACCAGACATCCCGACCCCACGCTCTTACGCTGAGGCGATGGCGGGTCCCTACTCCTCTCAGTGGCAGACAGCCATGGACGCAGAGATGGCCTCCTGGAAGTCCACAGGCACCTACGTAGACGAGGTTCCCCCTCCTGGGGCGAACATCGTCAGTGGCATGTGGATTTTCAGGGTGAAGCGGCCTCCGGGTTCTCCACCTGTCTTCAAGGCGCGCTACGTGGCTCGAGGCTTCAGTCAGCGAGAGGGAGTAGACTTCTTTCAGACCTTCTCCCCCACCCCGAAGATGACTACTCTTCGGGTGCTGCTGCACATAGCCGCTCACCGCGACTACGAGCTTCACTCTCTTGACTTCAGCACTGCTTTCTTGCAGGGCAGCCTGCACGAGGAGATCTGGCTGCGCCGCCCCCCTGGCTTCACTGGGTCATTTCCTCCTGGCACCCAGTGGAGGCTTCAGCGGCCGGTCTACGGTCTCCGCCAGGCGCCACGTGAGTGGCACGACACACTGAGGACGACACTTGCGGCTCTTGGGTTCGCTCCCTCTACTGCTGACCCGTCGCTGTTTCTACGCACCGACACCTCGCTGCCGCCGTTCTACATCCTCGTGTACGTCGACGACTTGGTCTTTGCCACTGCTGACACCGCGGCACTCGCTCACGTGAAGTCGGAGCTGCAGAGGAGACACACGTGCACAGACCTGGGTGAGCTGACGAGCTATCTTGGCTTGCGGATCACCCGGGACAGAGCACGGCGCACCATCACCCTGACTCAGTCACACATGGTGCAGCAGGTCCTCCAGCGCTTCCGCTTCACGTACTCCTCGCCTCAGTCCACTCCTCTGCCTACCGGTCACTCGCTCTCAGCTCTGCCTTCGGATGAGTCCGTAGAGCCGAGTGGCCCGTATCCAGAGCTTGTGGGCTGCCTCATGTACCTGATGACTTGCACTCGACCTGACCTTGCATACCCTCTTAGCATCCTAGCACGCTATGTCGCTCCTGGCCGTCACCGGAAGGAGCACATGGATGCTGCTAAGAGGGTGTTGCGCTACTTGTGCAGTACGTCGGGCATGGGGCTTGTGCTTGGAGGGCGAGACCGGGTTGTTCTCACAGGGCACTCAGACGCTTCTTGGGCAGACGACCAGGCTACTCAGCGGTCGTCTCAGGGTTACACCTTCAGCCTTGGCTCTGGCTCAGTTTCTTGGCGTTCTACACGCTCTTCTTCTGTTCTCAGCTCCAGTTGTGAGGCTGAGATCTACGCCACAGCCATGGCTGCTCAGGAGCTACGCTGGCTGACCTACCTGCTGACCGACCTCGGAGAGCGGCCTCGTTCTCCTCCAGTGCTGTACGTCGACAACAAGGCTGCCATTGCCTTGTGTGAGGAGCACAGACTGGAGCACAGAACGAAGCACATCGCTCTGCGGTACTTCCTTGCTCGAGAGCTGCAGCAGCGTGGTCAGCTTTGTCTGCGTTACGTGGCCACGGAGGCCAACACTGCTGATGTGTTCACCAAGGCGCTTCAGCCTTGTGACCATCAGCGCTTTTGCACTCTGCTAGGCCTTGTACCTACTGGGCCTCACTTGCTTACCTCTTGACCTTACTTGTACTGTGATCACTATATATATATGCCTTCTTGCTTACTTTTGCTAGGTTGTGATCACTGTATCTCTTACTTTGTTATAAACCTGCATGTGAACTGGTCTTGTGACCGCTTGCTTGTGCTCGGAATTTGTGTGGAATCCTTGAGATCCACCCTGAGCTTGCTTTGCTTTGCTTTGACTGGTCTTGTGACCCTGTGGTTGTTTCCCACTGCGCCTATGGGGGTGTGTCAAACATTGCATGTTTATATTGTCTAGGCTGTAGTGGGTTACACCTTAGGGGGTACACAAAGTTAGGGTTTCCTACTTGTACCAAACTCTGTTCTAGTTCATTCATTCCTGCTCAGTTATTTCTGACATTTGCTCCTTGTCAACCTTTGCTCCTTGTCAACCTTTGCTCCTTGTCAACCTTTGCTCCTTGTCAACCTTTGCTCCTTGTCAACCTTTGCTCCTTGTCAACCTTTGCTCCTTGTCAACCTTTGCTCCTTGTCAACCTTTGCTCCTTGTCAACCTTTGCTCCTTGTCAACCTTTGCTCCTTGTCAACCTTTGCTCCTTGTCAACCTTTGCTCCTTGTCAACCTTTGCTCCTTGTCAACCTTTGCTCCTTGTCAACCTTTGCTCCTTGTCAACCTTTGCTCCTTGTCAACCTTTGCTCCTTGTCAACCTTTGCTCCTTGTCAACCTTTGCTCCTTGTCAACCTTTGCTCCTTGTCAACCTTTGCTCCTTGTCAACCTTTGCTCCTTGTCAACCTTTGCTCCTTGTCAACCTTTGCTCCTTGTCAACCTTTGCTCCTTGTCAACCTTTGCTCCTTGTCAACCTTTGCTCCTTGTCAACCTTTGCTCCTTGTCAACCTTTGCTCCTTGTCAACCTTTGCTCCTTGTCAACCTTTGCTCCTTGTCAACCTTTGCTCCTTGTCAACCTTTGCTCCTTGTCAACCTTTGCTCCTTGTCAACCTTTGCTCCTTGTCAACCTTTGCTCCTTGTCAACCTTTGCTCCTTGTCAACCTTTGCTCCTTGTCAACCTTTGCTCCTTGTCAACCTTTGCTCCTTGTCAACCTTTGCTCCTTGTCAACCTTTGCTCCTTGTCAACCTTTGCTCCTTGTCAACCTTTGCTCCTTGTCAACCTTTGCTCCTTGTCAACCTTTGCTCCTTGTCAACCTTTGCTCCTTGTCAACCTTTGCTCCTTGTCAACCTTTGCTCCTTGTCAACCTTTGCTCCTTGTCAACCTTTGCTCCTTGTCAACCTTTGCTCCTTGTCAACTTCCCCTTTCTCTCCGCCCCCCTTGCCACCCCCACTCCCCCTCGCACCATCCCTCCCCTCCCCTCTTCCACCACCAGAGGCAAAGCCCAACAGCTTATGGGACGTGTTGGGCTTCCTTGCACCCGTGGTGTCCCCTTTGTGTGTGTGACGCCCTCATGCGCCGCACCGCCTCATGGCCACGCGCCCACACCTCTCCCACTGCCGTTTTCTCCCTTCCTCCCGTGGCCCCATTCCCCATTCCCCATTCCCCATTCCCCCCTTTCCGCCCAACTGCCCCCCCTGCTACTCCCCCCACCCCCCCCCGCACTCCCTTCTCGCTCTCCCCTCTCGCTCTCCCTCCCCTCCTCAGCCGCGGGGCACAACAGCTCATGGGAGTGCTTCTTTGCGCCCATGGTATCCCCTGCGTGTGAAGCCCTCGTGCGGCGCCTCATGGAGACACCGGAGGGGGCGAGCGTGAAGGAGTGTGCGTCGGTGGACTACGATGGGTTGGAGGCCATGAACGATACGGTGGTGTGTGTCAGCCCCCTGCGCGTTGACCGGCTGAAGCTGGAGTCCCGAGCCACGAGGTGAGGGATGGAGCGGGTGGGGTTGGAGGGAGAGGGAGGGGATGGGAAGGGAGAAACAGGAGGAGCAGAGGGCAGAGAACGAGAGAGAAAGGAAGGGAGGAGGGAGGGGAAAGCAAGGTAAGGCGGCGGGGTGTTTGAGCGGTTGGGACGGGATAGGCGTGAAGGAGTGTGCGTGGGTGGACTATGATGGGCTGGCTACATTGAATGACACAGTGGTTTGTGTCAGCCCTCCGCGCATTGACCGGCTCAAGCTGAAGTTTCGGGCCACCGGATCAGGTGGGGAGAGGGGTTGAGATGGGGAAAGGATGTTGGGTGCAAATATAATTTTTGCACATCAACCAACCGCCTGCGTCACATGTTGCATTTTTTGTGTGTGCACATTCTACATTTTTATTTTGTGTTGTTCTGTGCGCATTTGTCCTTGCAATTTGTTCAAGTGCATTTTTAGTTGTATTTTCACAGTTCTCATTAAGCTTTCATGAAACGCTCAGAATGAGGCTCGCATGAAGCGCTCAAATAGGCTCTCATGAAGTGCTCAAATGGGGCTCTCGCGAAACTCTCGGATGAGGCTCTCATGAAGTTCAATGAGCTCCCATGAAAGTCACAAGGGACTTTAATTTCATGTGAGGCTCATGCAAGTGACCTATGAAAGTCCTATGAGCACCGAACGTTTAATGCACGGCTCATTGGAGCCCCATGCGAGCGAGTGGTGTACCAAGGAGTGCTCGGTTACTTGATTGGTCAAAGGGGTGCCTTGACTTTTTTCGCTCAAGTTAAGGGCTCGAAAGTTAGGACCCACGAGTGGAACCTGGCATGCGCGTGTGGCCCCACAAGGCACGCGTATGCCGCGCACTGTTGTGAACGCGCACAAGTGCAAGATCGCAACAGGACAGGGCCCATTTCGGTCCTGTGCCTTACTATACAGTGCATGGTCTCTGTAGCGATCATCCTGTACAGCACGATCTAGAGGAAATTCTCGGTCATGTGTGTGACACGAGGGGGTGCTCGGGATTACAGTTGAAATCTGTATCCCGCGCTGACTCACGGGACGGAAATTTCTCCGCGCCGCTTTGCGTGATCATATTGACACAGGTACAAATTCAGTAATTCCGCTTTTCAAACGGCAAAAAACGTTTTACAATTGTTCGCTCGCATGAAACTCATGAGTGTTTTATTGGAGTCATATTGGAAGGATTTATGCTTGGTTTTTGCCCGTGCGAAGGATTTGTAAAAGTGTGTATTTGTCGAAATTAATCAAATGCTTTTGCGTTTTTCAAGCTTGAATTCTACTACTTCGTATTGACGAGAGCAGAAACGCTAACGTAGTGTTGTCAAAACTTTGTTTGACCAGTTTACTCGTCCTACAAGCTGAAAAGCGCATAGCTACTCACTTGCAATTTTTATACGCCGTTGGTTAAGAAGTGACACACTTGAAGGGCCCCAAATAAGTGTTGCCAAGTTAAGTTCCTAGTACCAGTTTAAACGGTTTTGCATAACGTTATAGCCGTCAACGGGACAGGATAATGAGGGAGTGGATGGGGCGAGGGAGGATTAGAGGATGGAGGGGGTAGGGTGGTGGTAGGAGGCAAGAGGTTGCATTCTGAAGGAGGAGGCAAGAGGGAAGGAACGCCGATGTATTTTGACGCTTGAGGTGTGGCCTGGTTCGGTTTGGATTGCTGTGGTCTACAAATGAGTCGACTTAAGAATGTGTGGGAACAAGACAGCCAGGTGTGCCGATTCTCTTGTGCGGAGCTTTTGCACCAGATGCATCTTCCCCTGGTTCTAAAACTTTCAAAAAACCAAGGTTCTTGGTTCAGACACCAAAGTTCAAAAACCAAAGTTTTGAGACATTTTCAAAAGCCCACACGCATTCCCTAATTTCATTGGCTACCATGCCCTGTGCCGTGGGATGGTTATTTGTTGTGTGTGCCTATGTGCGTGCATATGTGCAGTCTATGGGGGAACCCCCACCTGGATCGCTTGGACATGGTGGAGTACATGGGGGGCATGGAGCAGGACGACGACTTCAAGATGCTTGAGGTGCGCAGGGAGAGGTGAGGGGTCAGATGAGGGGGGGGGGGTGCGAGGATTGAGAGGTATGGTGTGTGCGGAAAGCGTGCCTGCTTGGGTGCCTGCGGAATAAAAAAAATATTTATATACATATATATAAACAAACAAACAAACAAACAAACAAACAAACGAAGAAACAAACAAAAATCCAAAAAGAGAGAGGAACAAAAACAACAAACAAAACCAAACGAAACTTTTCTCACCTTTTTTCTCTCTCCTCTCCCTTCCTCCCGACCTCTCTCCCAACCTCCCTCCCCCTCCCCACTCCCCACGCGACCCCCTCCACTGCCTTCCCAGGTGCGGTGGTGGCGAGCACAGGCCACGCGCTTCATGCTGCGCTGGCCCTCGGCGTACCTCTGCCACGTCACCAACCGCGTGCGCCACTCCTCCTACGGGCTGCACACAGCCATGCACCTCTCGCGCTTCGAGGAGGAGCGAGCAGAGATCCTACAACTAGTCGCCGCAGGCGACCCCGTGCGATTCCTAGTGAAGGACACAGACGGCAAGGCGGATTTAGAAGGGGCTGCCAAGGCCCAGGCGAAGGCCCTTGCTGGGTTGAAGTTTGGCGGGAATACGCTGGAAGGGCAGGTGTGGCCGGCGAAAGGGATGGAGTCGTGTGCGTTTGAGTGCGGGCCGAACGGGGAGGGGAGATGGAAGAGGAAGGAGGTGCAGGGCATGCTGCAGGGCGTGGGCGGGGAGGTGTATGCGCCGCGGCCGATGGTGAGCGTGCACGTGCGGCAGAGCGACAAGTTCAAGGAGATGACTCTGCTGTCCTTCGCCATGCACATGTTCTTTGCCCATCGGTTGAGAGCTGCCGTGCCGGATCTGAAACACGTGTGGCTCAATACGGAGATGGAGGTGCGTTGCGAGGGGGCTGGGGTGGGAGAGAGGGAATGGAGGGGAGGGAGGGAAGGGAAGGGAGGAGTGGGTTCAGAAAAAAGGGGGGGGGGGGGGGGGGGGGGGGGGGGCGGGGGAAGCATCTCATCATGGTGATGATGATGCTGAAAAGTGGTTTGAGAAATCTTAACTGATCGAGTTTGACTTGTTCGAATGGGGTGATAGGTTGAAAGCACGTGTGGCCTGACACAGAAATTGAGGTGCATGGGGAGAGGAGGCGGGGACGGGCGGGGGGGGAGGGGGGGGGGAGAGAAAAGGAGGGAGGGTAAGGAAGGAAGGGAAGGAGAGGCCTGTGCTGATTCCATGGCTTCGTGTAATCTTATGCGCTATCTTTGCAACGCTCCTTGCCCTGCCATGCAACGAGCTTCACACACACCTTGTTGCCTCACGTCCACGTGCAATCAACCTCCCGCATGTGCTTGTGCTCGTGTCGTGCGACACCTTGGTCCAACACGGTGCCTGCGACTTCAACCTCCACATCAGCCATCCCCAAGACTCCACACCGACCCCACAAGAATCTCTCCTTCTCTCCCTCTCCCGCCTCCTCTCCCTCCGCCGCTCCCTCCCCCTTCCTCGCTGCCTTCCCCCCACATGCACCACTTGATAGAGCAGACCACTTGTACCCTTACTGGCAGTTCCACCATTCCACCAACCCATGCCTCCTGCATGACCCCACGTCAACTCTCCCTTTCCCCCTCCCTTCCCCTTTCCCCCCTCCCTCCCCCCATCACCCCCCCACCCCCCACATGCACCACCAGTCCATGATAGAGCAGACAAAGCAGTACCCCTCCTGGCAGTTCCACTACTCCACCAACACACGCCTCCCATGTGACCCCACATCACCTCTCCCTTTCCCCCTCCCTCCCCCCACCTTCCCCCACCTGCACCCACCAGTCCGTGATCGAGCAGACCAAGCAGTACCCGTCCTGGCAGTTCCACCACTCCACCAACCCATGCCTCCCACACTACCCCACATAACATCTCTCCCTTCACCCTCCCTCCCCCCACCTTCCCCCACCCACACCCATCAGTCTGTGATCGAGCAGACGAAGCAGTACCCCTCGTGGCAGTTCCACTACTCCACAAACGCGCGTCTCCCCCCCGGCGCCAACGACACGCGCGCGTACGAGTTCATGCAGGACGTGGCAGTGAGCCTCGCCAGCGTGCTCATAGCCGCCGAGTGCGACTACTTTGTCGGCTCACTCGAGTCGAATTGGAGCAGGTTGATCAATGAGTTAAGGAGCACAAATGGACGGCTGTATGCGGGGTTCATTGCTCTCAACATCGGTCTCTGGTGAGGTGCGGCATGGGGGAGGCTGGTGTGTGCTCATAGCCGCCAAGTGCGACTACTTTGTCGGTTGATCAACGAGCTCAGGAGTACCAATGGGAGGCTGTATGCGGGGTTCATAGCGCTGAATATAGGGCTGTGGTGAGGTGCCGTGTGGTGGAGACCGGAGTGCACTCATTGCAGCGGAGTGCGGTGCGGCCACTAGGCTCGCTCGAGCCTAATTGGAGCAGGCTGAGCTGACTGTTAAGAACAAGATAGCCTAGGTTTAGGAGAAACCTAAGCTAGGGACGAGGGTAGCGAGGGTGTCGGGAGGGGAGAGGAAGTTGGCCAAGGAAAGAGGGTTTCACTATAGGGCAAATGGTACAAATAGGATAGGAAAGGGGTATACCACCAACAGGCCCTCAGATTCGTTTTTGGCCTGTCTGATTCATCAGAATAGTACACAATTTTAGTCTGAAACCCTCAGAGTTGGTATAAAAAGAAGGCTGAAATTTCAGAGTGCCTTAATAAAAAAGTCTGAAACATCAATGTATCTAATGTTTTAGTAGAAATGTATTCAATGCTTCATCTAATACTGAAACATGCTAGACTAAGGGGATTTTCGGGAGAACATGCTCTGACAGGGCGAATTTCTGTGTCAGGGCGAATCTTGTGGTGTGAAAGGGCGAATCTGCAATGTCAGGTGGAAGTTCTTGGTGATTGGTCGAAATCATTGTGCTCTGACAGCACAAATCTGTTGTGTCAGGGTGATTTTGTTGTGATTGGGCGAAAATCTTGTGCTGTTAGGCGCGGATTTGCAGTTTCAAGCCGATTTTGCATTGACCTGTAAAGTCCGAACCGAATCACCAGTCAAGAACACAAGCAGATAACAGATTCGGTACGCGTTTGTACTCGTGATCAGACTACACTCCTGGAAAACTCTGAAACGTCAGAGTTAGCTCTAAAATTTCTCTGAAAATTACAGAGTTGGGGCCCAAAAATCTCTGATTTTAACAGACCTCACTTGAAAAAAATTCTGAATTCTCAGTTTTTCATGCAAATCAGAGAAATTTCTCTGACTTCTGGGGGCCTGACCACCAAGCAGGATGTTATGATAGCTACACTAACACTAGAACTACATGCAGTTATAAGAATGCAATTCCGACACCCCCCCTTAACTGCATGCAGGTATAGCGAAGTGCAAATGACAACCTGCAAATGTACTCAAAGCAGTAGCACGCAAGAGCAATGACAACCAGTGCAGTGGTGGCAGAGACAGCTGCAGCAAGCCCTGAGGCAAGAAAGAGAGAAAGAAGACAAAAGTGTTGTGGCGCATCTAGTTTGCAGCTCAACAGCAAAGAAGACGAACGGAGAAAGGAGACAAAGTGCTGTGGCGCATCTAGTTTGCAGCTCAACAGCAAAGAAGACGAACGAGGCGTCAGGGGCTGCAGCTGTAGGTGCCACGGTAGCAGTGGGCGGCATCTGCAGATGCGTGGCTGCTGTTTCCACGCGGGAGGCGACCGGATACGACGGATACAAGGAGGAGGAGTAGCGAGAAGTGATGCAGCGGAAGAGAGAGGGAGAAGAACGAGAGAGAAATAAAGCAGATTACTCCCATCCCCCCTCAACTGCTCTCCCCCCCCCCCCTACAGCACCAAGTGCTGCAGGGAGAGAGGAAGAGGGAAGGGAGGGACGGCCTGTTGGTGATTCACACCCGCCACCCCACGTCTCCCCCTCCCCCCCTCCCCACGACGGAAGTCGCGGAAGGAAGGGCGGATGGGGGGGGCGACGGTAGCTGCTGCTGGCGCTATCGCTGGCGCCTGGCGCTGGCGCTGGTACAGGCGCTGGCGCTCGCGGCTAGCCGTGGCGCTGGCGCTCGTCGCTAGCGTCCGCGCAGGCGCCTGGCGAGGCGCTGGGCGGGCTGCGGGCGACGGGAACGGGGGGCCACGGGCGACGGGAACGGGGGGGCCGCGGGCGACGGGAACGGGGGGCCGCGGGCGACGGGAACGGGGGGCCGCGGGCGACGGGAACGGGGGGGCCGCGGGCGACGGGAACGGGGGGCCGCGGGCGACGGGAACGGGGGGCCGCGTGGCGAGGAAACGGCGCGGGGCGACGCGGGGGCCGTGGGTCGACGAGACAGAAAAAATTGCGCATTTCGCGCTGAGACAAGGGCGGGCCCATGTTCCTTAGAAGAGATCGAGGTCCTTAGACCAGGACTAGCTCTGATAGCATGTTAAGAACAAGATAGCCTAGGTTTAGGAGAAACCTAAGCTAGGGACGAGGGTAACGAGGGTGTCGGGAGGGGAGAGGAAGTTGGCCAAGGAAAGAGGGTTTCACTATAGGGCAAATGGTACAAATAGGATAGGAAAGGGGTATACCACCAAGCAGGATGTTATGATAGCTACACTAACACTAGAACTACATGCAGTTATAAGAATGCAAATAGTAGCTAGTAGAGACTAGGGTTTAGGAGAGAGAGTTGGCCAAAAGAGGGCTGACATTGAGAAGTGACGAGAGAGTTATACAAGGAACAACCAAGAGGTGCACCACCTAACAGAAATGTAACACCATTATACTTATAGCTAGACTTGTATGCAGTTATAATAACATAACTCGGACATCCCCCATTAACTGCGTACAGGAATAGCAAAGTGTAGAACACAACCTGCAGGGGTACACAGAGCAGACCAAAGCAGCAGAACGCAAGAGCAGTGACAACCAGTGCAGTGGTGGCAGAGACAGCTGCAGCAAGCCCTGAGGCAAGAAAGAGAGAACGAAGACGATGTGCTGTGGCGCGCTTAGTTTGCAGCTCAACAGCAAAGAAGGCGATGTGCTGTGGCGCACTTAGTTTGCAGCTCAACAGCAAAGAAGACGAACGTAGAGGGAGAAGCGTCAGGGGCTGCAGAAGTAGGTGCCACAGTAGCAGTGGACGGCAGCTGCAGATGCGTGGCTACTGGTTCCACCACTCTCTCTTACCCTCCCTTAGCATCTCTCATCCCCCCCCCCCCCTTTCTCCTACAGCAACTAGTGCTGCAGGAAAAGAGGAAGAGAGAGGGGAGGGACGGATTGCTGGAGGCTCACACCCGCCGCCCCCACATCTCCCCTTCCCCCTTCCCCCCCCCCCTCCGCTACGGAAGCCGCGGAAGGGAGGGCGGGGGGTGGGGCGGCGGTAGCTGCTGCTGGCGCTGATGGTGGCGCAGGCGCTGGCGGCTGGCGGCTGCGCTGGCGTCTGCGCTGGCGGGCCGCGCTGGCGCTCGCGGCTGGCCGTGGCGCTGGCGTCCGCGCGGGGCGACGAAAGGGGGGCGCGGGGCGACGAAACGGGGGCCGCGGGCGACGGGAACGGGGGGCCGCGGGCGACGGGAACGGGGGGCCGCGGGCGACGGGAACGGGGGGCCGCGGGCGACGGGAACGGGGGGCCGCGGGCGACGGGTGTCGAGATAGCTAGGCAAGGTTGAATCGATTGACGAGAGAGTTTGGTACAAGAAACACAACCCTAAAGTGTTATCCCCTGTAACATCTACCCCACTACAGCCTACCAATATATATCACACATATATATCATTTGACACACCCCCATAGGCAAAATGGGGGAGAGCAACAGGTCACAAGACCAGTCAAGAGAAGCAAAACAAGCTCAGGGTGGATCACAACGTCACCACACATTCTGAGAACAAGCAAATGGCCACAAGGCCAGTTCACATGCAGAGATATATATGCAGCAATAACAGTACAGTGATGGCTACCTAGCAAGAGCCAGCATGCAGGTATATATATATATATCACAGTACAAGCAGAGACTACAGCAAGTGTGGAAACGTAGGCACAAGGCCTAACAGAGTACAAAAGCGCTGATGATCACCAGACGGAAGTGCCTTGGTGAATATATCAGCAGTGTTGGCCCGAGTGGCCACGTGACGAAGACGAAGCTGGCCTCGCTGCTGCAACTCTCGAGCCAGGAAGTAACGCAGAGCAATGTGCTTCGTTCTGTGCTCCAGTCTGTGCTCCTCACACAAGGCAATGGCCGCCTTGTTGTCAACGTACAGCACTGGAGGAGAACGAGGCCGCTCACCCAAGTCAGTCAGCAGGTAGGTGAGCCAGCGTAGCTCCTGTGCAGCCATGGCGGTGGCGTAGATCTCAGCCTCACAACTGGAGCTGAGAACAGAAGACGAGCGTGTAGACCGCCAAGAAACAGAGCCAGAGCCAAGGCTGAAGGTGTAACCCTGTGACGACCGCTGTGTAGCCTGGTCGTCAACCCAAGACGCGTCTGAGTGCCCAGTGAGGACCACCTCACTCCGTCCTCCAAGCACGAGCCCCATGCCCGATGTACTGCACAAGTAGCGCAGTACCCTCTTAGCAGCAGCCATGTGCTCTGGTCGGTGCCTACCAGGAGCCACGTAGCGAGCGAGAAGGCCAAGAGGGTACGCAAGGTCAGGCCGAGTGCAGGTCATCAGGTACATGAGGCAGCCCACTAGCTCTGGGTAAGGACCACTCGGCTCTACGGACTCGTCCGAAGGTGGAGCTGAGAGCGAGTGACCTGTAGCCAGAGGAGTGTGCTGTGGCGAGGACCAGGTGAAGCCGAAGCGCTGAAGGACCTGCTGCACCATGTGTGACTGAGTCAGTGTGATGGTGCGGCGTGCTCTGTCCCGAGTGATCTGCAAGCCAAGGTAACTGCGCAGCTCACCCAGGTCTGTGCACGTGTGTCTCTTCTGCAGCTCCGACTTCACCAAGGCGAGAGCCTCAGTGTCAGCAGTGGCAAAGACTAAGTCGTCTACGTACACGAGGATGTAGAACGGTGGCAGCGAAGTGTCGGTGCGCAGGAACAGCGACGGGTCAGCTGTCGAAGGAGCGAACCCAAGAGCCGCCAGTGTCGTCCTCAGTGTGTCGTGCCACTCACGTGGCGCCTGGCGGAGACCGTAGACTGGCCGCCGGAGGCTCCACTGGGTACCAGGAGGGAACGACCCAGTGAAGCCAGGTGGGCGGCGCAGCCAGATCTCCTCGTGCAGGCTGCCCTGTAAGAAAGCTGTGCTGAAG